AAAAAAAGAAAGACATGGGAGTATGTGAAAAGCTTTCACCTTCTGAGGTATAGTATCAAAATGATCTTCCTCATAATTATGTTTTAGACCCTGAAAAGGGCAAGTTTCTTGTCAGAGTGTAACATCAGTTTGTTCTTTTATCCTTTAATCACTACCTAACACACCTGCATTTTTCCTAAAAATATTCAGTACATTCTTACTGTTAACCATTAGTCATTTGCTTCTGTACTGCAGACTCAGTTCATGTACTGTTGAAGAAATGGGCAGTACTCCCAAGAAAGGGGATCAAACCAAGTTCAATGTTTTCTGTGGGAACAGTGATAAAGTTATGCATAGCATACATGATAAACTTAAAGCTGAGATATGGCTTCATTCTTATTACATTGTTTACCTCAAGTATGAACATATTTATAGGCATTTCCTAGATACATTCTCAGACAAGTTTTAAACCAACTGTGCTGAAAATATTCAGGTTATCTCAGTTAGGCTTTTTTCTCTTTTTCCATGTAGCAAAGTGCAGAGAGTTCTGCCCTGAAGGCCAAAAGGGATGTGCTTATTTCTAGGTATGTGTTTATTGCTATCTCCTGTAAACTATATTGCAAATCACTTTTTGTCTTTTGGGATCTAGTAAAGAAATGCCACTATTGGGAGATACATTTCTTTTCTCGTCACGTGTTAGAAAATTGCTCATTATAAATTTTGCTTTTATCCTCTTTACAGAAAATTGGCAGCTAATTTTCCTAATGTAAGAAAAGAGGAAGAGAACAAAAATATGTTAGATTCAGATGAAAGCTTGCCAGATGTGGACATGAACACCAGAACCATCACTGTTGATAAAATGTAAGAAGGATTTGTTTTTTAATAATATTTGTATCCCAATTACAGTATGTAGGGATCTAGATTTGTTCCTTTATTTATGACACAATGAGAGAAAATACTGCCGTAAAAAGAACTTTCAAAGAAAATTGTTGGTTTGGTTTTTTCCCCCCCCTGGAAATTTCAAATCTAGTATAGCAACTGGCATGCAATGGTATTTAATGCTCATGGCCAAACATCATTTGTACGTGAGAGGATAATTACGCAACGTGCTTGCAAGAGTCAGTTTCCCTTGTTTGTTTAATGTTCAAGACTATGATTTAGACCTGTAGATTTGTCGAGTTATTCCTGTAGAACGATATTTCAGCAGATGGATTGTATCTGTCAGGATTATTTTTATATCCTGTAAATTTAATAGTAAACATAATAAGGTACTTTTTTTTTTTTTTTTTTTTTTAAGATTTCTTAATCATTTTGAAAATATAGAGCCTATTGGTGAAGGTGGTTTTGGGAATGTTTTCAAGGCAAGATCAAAGTGCGATAAGATAACCTATGCAATCAAACGAGTTGAATTCACAAAGTACGTACTGTATCTTTACTTCTACTTTTTATTTTAGGACAACCTTAATATTATAGTACTTTATTTTCTCTCTTTCACAATCCTAGGAACATTTAAGCAATTTTCCATATTAATTGTCTATTCTTTCTAGAAAACTGTTTTCTTTATTTCTAAGTGATGCTGAAAATGGCATATAACTTTGTTCATTTTTGCATGTAATGGGATAATTTCTGCTGGAGCTGTAAAAATGCAGATTGGTTAAGTTCTACTTTCCCTGAACACACTAGTGCTCTGGTTTTTAATACTGAAAATGTGTTTGAGAAAAACTTGCTGGTTAGTAAAACATTGAAAACATCACTGTTACTTTTGATACGTTACATAGAAAATTTACACATCAGTAATGCATAACTACTATAATTAGGAAAATAGAGAAAAATCCAAGTAATAAGTTTTGTGGTTTGTAGTTGAAAAATGCTTTATATACTATTCATGTAGTCGTTATTTTCACACTGTGTTAATTGTTCTTTATAAATCTCAACAGAGAATGATGATCTTAATTTTTTAAGGTAACTAGTATCCAGTGGATAGGGTAACTAGCATCTTGTGGAGTATTTTATCAGCAGCTGAAAAAAATAATTTCTTTTAGGCAACCTATTGAAAAAATATTGTTGGAGATACTTGTCCTTAAATTGTGTGATGTGTACACTTCCCTTCAGATTTTTGTGTTCTTTGCAAATATGTTATTTTAATTGGTATTTCAATCCTGAGAATTATACTAAAAACGTTCAACTGATTCTTCAAGTGAAGACTGCTGGTCTGCTTATGGGTTTGAACTTGCTTCACTAGGTAACGTTACAACAACAACTGCAGGCCAAATTTCGTAATAGTTCTTCCTGAGTATTTATACTGACTTCTCTCTATACAGACAAACTTCATACAGGTGAAAAGAAAACGTGGTTGTTTGCTATATTGTGTTTGGTGACCTAATGTTATTATGCATTGCAACTATCTGCTTTTTTTTGAGGGGGATTTAATTTCTAATATGGTTAAAACATTTTTGCACTTTGAATAACTGAGCAGATGAAAGAAAACCCACTGAAATTCTAACTATGATTTTTAACTTTGAACCTTTATGAAGGCAAATAATATGCTTTGTTTCTAAATTATTGTAAAACTGTCTGTATACTGCTACTTGATGCCATGTCTTTTATTTAACTTAGTATTAAGTAACATTGTAATGGGGAAATGCCTTTTTTTTTTTTTTTTTTTTAATTCCTTCTCCTCCTTACAGGAATGTAAGCCGTGAAGCAGAAGGACTTGCAAGACTTAGACATGAAAACATAGTGCGGTATCATTGGAGCTGGACAGAACACGACCGTATATCTAATTCATTTGCAAGGTAACAATGAAATAGTAGTTTGAACTCACAAACTTGTTTGCCATAGTGAATTTTATGTTGTAAAAAGAAAGGCTGATGATTGGTTACCAATTCTTATACAAGTACAAATGCACTTAAAAGAACTTAAAATTTGGGGCAAGAATTAACAGAAACTAAAAGACTGATTGACAGCCGGCTGCCTAATTCCTGATCAGAAGCTTGTTTTTTGTAATAAGTACTGGTCAGCCAATAGCTCTTATAGATTTAATTATTTCTCTTAAGTTAGCATTTTAACCATGATGCCTGAAACAGTTTTGGTTGTTTAGAACAGAAATACAAAATGAAATGCTCTTTAATTTAGAGGTAGTCTTTCAAGACTAAGACTTCTGGGAAGACTGTGGTGAGAGTTTTACTTGTAAGTTAGGCTATTAACTTTACAAAGCTTCTGTGGTAAGCTTTTTTTTCATTAGCTGTAAATTCATACCCTTCAGATGGGTTGCCACACTTACCTGGAGCCATAAAATATTAATGGATTCAAAATTATCATTGGCATAATATCTCTCCAGTGTGCTCAGTAAATGAGAAATAAAATGGAGGAAAAAAGTCTCATGTCAAAACACAGATGGGAGCACTTACAGCATAGCCAAGGACAGTGCTATTTCTTCCTGTATAAGACATGCCTCTAGGTATGAGTGAAATAGAACTTGGGCACTCTGAAAACTTTCAGTGTGAACTAGGAAGCAAGTAAAACATTAGGAGTATTCCAGGGGTAGGCAGGAGCTGAGCAGGGATTCTTTGGTTTGCAGTCTTATTTATATATCCTGAATTCATATTAATCTAGGGTCTTTTTTAAAATTAAAGGACTTGCAGATTTTGTTTTGGGGAACTTACAAAATAATTATTAACAAAAAGACTTTTTAAAGAAGAGGAATCTGAGGATCACTGATGACTTAGTAACAATTGTATCTTGCCAATTTTAATATGGTATGTAATTTTCTTTTGAAGCTCAAATTCAGACAAAACAACTCTCTGTCTTTTCATCCAAATGGAATTCTGTGAAAAAGGGACCTTGGAAAAGTGGATTAGCGAGAATAGAGAAGATAAACACTATCATGAAATGGCACAAGACAAATTTTTACAAATAGTGAAAGGAGTGGAATATATTCATTCTGAAAAGTTAATTCATCGAGACCTCAAGGTAAGTAGGATAGGTAATTTAAAAAAGAAAAAAGAAAAAAGAAGATAGTACTTACTGGAATTGTAGAAAATGTTAAATTGTTATAGTCTTTTTCACTCTGTTAAGTACCCTAGTAGTGTGCCTCTTCAGATATTGCTAATGATTAATTCTGTTACAGCAACTGGCTGAACCTCATCCTAAAATCAAAATGTAGACTGGAGGATCTTGGAATACAATAGTTCAAAAAATCAGTAATTCTAAGTTAACAGACACTTTCAATGTGTTACTGAGTCACAAGACTGCCTATGGGAAAAAGAAAAGTTGAGTCTAGGAAGTTTGCTCTTGCTATATTGTAAAGCAATACTTTATCTGTGCTGTGCTTTTGTCCCATGTATGCATATAAATATTTGAATGCCACAATGCTGGATAGAATTTCATTCTCTACATGTACATCTTCATAAGAAGATTTTATTTTAATACAAAGATTATAAAGGACAAAGCCTTCAGGGCTTTAATATGGCATATCCCAGAATCAAAGCTGCAAGATAGGTTCAAGTTGATATTAATGACATTTGTGCCTGGTAGGAACAGAGCCTTTAAATAGTGTAGCCAGGTATAGGTACTGAATTAAATATGTGCATGGTTGGACTTGAACAGAAAAACTGCACTGGACACTCTTTACACAACAGAAAAACTGCACTGGGCACTCTTCACACAAAGATTTCTTCCTGTTGAATATTAAGTATCTCCTGGCCTTATGGTTCACTGGAGCTTCTTTGAGTAAAAGATAGCATGAGGCTATTTGGTTTTGTTTCAAAAACATTTTGAAGTGTAGTTTCTTGATCTTCTTTGGGAAACTTCGTTGAAACATATACAGTTATACTTTTAGTTGTTTATGACTTTGTGTTTTGGTTTAGGCTGGGATAGAGTTAATATTTTTTCAGTAGGTGGTACAGTGCTGTGTTCTGGATTCAGGATGAGAATAATTTTGATAACATAGACTGGACAGGTGACCCAAACTGCCCAACAGGATATTCCACATCACACAATGTCATGCCAAGTATATAAACTGGGGGAGGTGGAAGAGGGGCCAATCTGGGTTTGTGGAGGGGGTCTGACATCAGTCAACAGGTAGTGAGTAATTGCATTGTGCATCACTTGTTCTTCCTTGTTTTATTTTGGCTTTTTATCCTTTTATTATCATAATTATTATTATTTACTACTATTATTATATTTTACTTTTGTTTCCGTAATTAAACTGTTCTTAAAAATAATCTAAAAGCTTTGCTTTTGATTCTCTCCCTCATTCCACTGTGGGCATGGGGAGTAAGTGAGCGGCTGTGTGGTGCTTAGTTGCCAGCTGGGCTTAAGCCATGACACTTTGTCAAATTTAAAAAAGGGAAGTTCAGCGGAAATGTAAAAGTGATACTCTGAGATGCCTGTAGTACGCCTTAACTCTGCAATTGACTTAGTACAGATAATCCTGCTGTGCCTAGGAGAAACTCTGATTTGAGTAGAATTCCATTAGTGAGCCAAATACTTTTCCAAGTGTGTCAAATCCTAGGGCTAGGACTAAAGACTGAAAAGCACTTCTAGATATAAAATGTTATACACATGATATATTTGAAGAGCATTAAATGATACAGTTATGACTGAGCTAGTAGAAAAAAAGGTGCAGTTACTCCAGAATACACTACTTGAAATTTAGTTTTTGTTTTTGAAACTTAATTTAACTTTTTTCTGTTTCCCACCCCATCAGATTCTTAATGCTGTTTCCTGTGAACAATTATCAAATTTATGGGGAACGTTTCTGTGGCTGATTATGCTTGATGATAAACCTTGGTCATATTTTTTCTTTTTTTTTTTTTTTTTTAATATTAATATATATAGCCTCTGAATATATTCATATCAAATGATGATAAGATAAAAATAGGTGACTTTGGTCTTGTGACTTCTGCGGAATATAAGACTCTGACTGAGAACACAGGAACAAAATCATATATGGCACCAGAACAGGTAATTATCCTGCTATATTAGCATCTCTGTAATTAGATTTGAACTATAAAGTCTGCACTGGATGTTCTCAATCCTAACCTCAGTATTAAAGCAAGTTGCCTAAAGTTCCCTAGTATAACTGTATATGAGGATAACTGTATTCTGGAGAAAGCTGTCTGCCAGTATGGTAGTAGGGCTAGCCTACAGTCTGACACTGCCTGCTGTAAGGAATGCTTTTGCAAAACCAGGCTGCCAGACATATGTATTGAAATTTTAATTTAGGACCTCTGTTAGCTGTGGCATTTGAGTTCTTCTATTTATTTCATTATCTGTCACAGGGCAATATTGGCATACTTTATCTATATACATCCATAGAAGTCAATTTCAGTGTGTTTAAGGTAACACAATAGTCATCACTTAACAGGTCTGTGGCAGAAAGTGTTAATGACTTATAAAGATATCGAGTAGGGCCAGTCCTGTAGCATCTGGATGGAAATTTCTGCTGACTTCAAATTTTGCTTTAGGAAGTGCTGCTGTACAGTTGGATTTGATGCCCTTTATTGTTCTGGTTCTTATTTTTCTAGTTCAGTGACAGCTACGGAAAGGAAGTGGATATTTATGCACTGGGATTAATTTGGTTTGAAATTCTTTCAGCATTCACTAATCATGAGAAAAGTGAGGTATGTAATTTTTAAATTTAAAAAAGAACTCTGATATTGTTTTGCCTTGCTGCTGATCACATGTTGATTGTACACTAGAAGGAATCCGTGTATCTAAAGTCTCCATTTACATTTTCCCCCTTAATTCATTTCCATAAGGCCTGTAAGTCCTCACACCTTAGCTGAAATGTCATAACTGAAGAAATATTACAGTTTATTTCTCCTATGTCCTATTACCTATACATTAAAGCCTGAGCATGCTAAAGATTAATGTCAAGCTAAAAAATATATCAAGTTTCTTATAAATCTTTGTTTGATCAGAAACTTGGAGATGTTTTATAATTTTAGAAAACAAAAATTATGTATGGGTGAGTTTTGCCTCTGCCATGCTTGTCTTCACTGCGCAGTGGAGTAAGAACAAGGTTTCCACCAAGTCAAAACACCTGCAGTTTTCCAAGATGAAAATGAAAGTGATTTGGAATATGCAGCTTTATGTGAAAAAGATGTTACTCCAAAAAGAAACTCAGTGTTACTTAAGCTTTTTTTTTAAAAGGTATCTTTTATGCATCTTGAGCTTTTTACTGCTAATTCATATATTATTATTGTAATAGCTCTTATACACAAAGCTAAATGTTTGTAGGACAGTGATGTAGCTGCTGGGTGTCTTGTCTAAAGTGACTGTGGTCAGAACCAGAGGGCTTTGAACACCGTTAGCTGGATCCTTTTGCCAGTATGAGAAAATCATACCTAGTGTGTCTTTTCAAGCTGGTTCTAATCAGCCACCTTGCAGTACTTCCTAAGATACCCTGTTCCTGCTCGCAGCTGACTGCAAATGCACGCACAGTCCCACAGTATTTGCAGCTGGAAAGGCATTATTTTCCTAAGTATAAAACTCTGGAGCTCTGTAGGCAGGTACGTGGATGGAAAGTCCTAGGACGGTCTTCAGCTGCTCCATTAGCTTAGAAAGTAATTTCACTTAATGGAGCATGATAAACTTTCAGCTGGAAAGCCCTGTTGAAAGAACATCGTGTGGATGACTATTTTGTGTTGAGTAACTGGTTTGGCTGATGATCCCCAGCAGATAGGGCTTAAAGCTACTGCTGAAGAGTAGGGAAAAAGCTTGGAAGTTCACGGGAGCTGTTGTTTTACTGGATACTGGTTGTAAGGGCTTGGTATACCAGGCTCATAGGATCCATAAGTCTAGCTAACAATTCAGGATGCATAGCTAAGTGTAGGAACACAACTGTCATCTTCAGGCAGATATTACATTAGTTAACAATCAACTAATTAAGTAGTAATTTCCTTTTTACCCAGAAAGCTACATCATTGCAGAATCACAACATGGGTAAGGTTGGAAGGGACCACTGCAGGCCACCTAGTCCAACCTACCTGCTCAAGCAGGGTCTCCTAGAGCATGTTACTTGGGCTTACAACCATAGTATCTCCAGTGAGGGAGACTCCACAGCCTCTCTGAGTAATTTGTTTCAGTGCTTGGTCACCTGCACAGTAAAGAAGTCCTTTCCTCGTGTTCAGGTGGAATTTCCTGTGCATTAATCTCTGCCTGCTGCCTCTTGTCCTATTGCTCAGCACCACCAAGAAGAGCCTGGTTCCATTGTCTCGACACCCTCCCTTTAGATACTTATGGACATTGAGGACATTCCCTCTTAGTCATCTCTTCTGGAGGATGAGAAAGCACAGGTGCCTCCATCTTTCCTCATAAGAGAGATGCTACAATCCCTTAATTATGTTACCTTCCACCGTACCCACTCCAGTAGCTCCCTATCTCCTTTGTACTGAGGATGTCCGAACTGGACACAGGACTCCAGATATGCCTCACCAGGGCTGAATAGAGGGGAAGGCACCTCCCCTGACCTGCTGGCAGTGCTCTTCCTAATGCACCCCTGGAAACCATTGGCCTTCTTGGCCACCAGGGCACACTGCTGGCTCATGGACAGTTTGTTGTCCACCAGGACCCCCAGGTCCTTCTCTGCAGAGCTGCTTTCCAGCAGATCGGTACCCAGCCTATCCTGGTGTCTGGGCATTATTCCCCCAGGGTGCAGGACCCTGCATTTGTCTTTGTTGAATTTCAGAAGGTTTGTCCCTGCCCATCTCTCCAACCTGTTGAGGTCCTTCTAAAACTCTGGAGTATTGGCCATTCCCTCCAGCTTTACACAAAGTTCATCAGTTTGCTGAGGAGACATCTGCCACTCCATCCCACTCATTGATGAACAAGTTAAACAATACTGGACCCAGTATCCACCCTTGAGGGACACCACTGGTCCCTGCAGTCCCCCAACTAGACCCTCTGCCATTGTGTACTGTCCTGTGGGATCTGCTGTTCAGCCAGTTCACAATCCACCTCACCATCCACTTGTCCAGCCTGCAATTCCTGAGCTTGCCTACGAGGATGTTGTGAGAGACAGTGACATATGGGAAAAAAAAGTTACCCAAGCCTGGTTTCTAAAGCATGTAATTAGAAATCCTCTATATGTTAGCTGCTTTGAACTCCACATAGCATTTTTGGCAGTGACATACTTCAGTGTGTGGTACTGAACATGGAAGCACACCTGCTTAGCTTGCAAACAGTAACATCCAAAGTAGGAAATTTGGTTGTCTTGCTCTTTTCCTTTTCTTTCAGTGTGGTTAGATGATATAAATCCACTGCTTTTAAATTAAGGAAAGAAGGATAACAGTTCTGAAATAGAGTGGACTGCTGAAACAAACCCATCATTGTAGAGTGCAAAGCTTTTAAACTTAGAAAGGAACAATAGTTGATGAAAACACCATAAAACCAAATCAATGTACAACTAAATGGAAGAAACTTTCAAACTGTTTACAGTTACTTTTTGAAGACTTAATTTCTTGTAGATCTGTGGTTTCCTAATTACTTCAGGAAACTATAGGGGTCGTAAGGTAGACATGCAAAATACAATCAAAGAAAGCATATTGAAACTGTTCTGTTTTATGAATTTCAGGTATGGCCTTCTGTTAGAAAAGGTGATCTTCCAGGGAGCTTCACCAAAAAATTTCCACCAAAGGTATGGGATTTTAATAAATTATTTTGATTAGTTTATTTACTTGAAAAAAAATAAATCTATTGCCATTTAATTTTTTTTGCAGGCATCCATAATCAAAGGGATGCTTTCAAAAGACCCTTTCAAGAGACCCTCTGCATCTCGAATACTTGATCTTGTTAAGTCCATTGATAAAGAGAAGTCACGTGGAAATTATACTTATTAAATGCCTTTTTAAAAGGCTTTCAGACTCTGTTTAAATCCAGAGTTTGATAGATTTATTGAAACTGATGAAAAAACAATAGATGTAAGAAGTAACAGCAAGACTTGGGGTATGCCTTTTCCTTGGTGCTTTGCCTTCCTGCCACTGTGGAGTCCGTCAGCTCGAAGGCCACATCAGCATTCATGTCCATTGGCTGCAGACCAGGATTGTGTACTTCTGCAAGAAATCACTTGCAATTTTTACCTGAAAATACAGGTTGTGGATGAGCTGAACTGTATTCTACAATAAGTAAAAGAACCTAGTCCTTTTCTGTTAGAAGACTACGTTGATGGGCTAATGTGCTAACTGGCCTGTGGCAAATCCCTGGATGTGGTGCTGCACCTATTATTCTTTCAAGTTATCTATTGCTTTCCATGGAAGAAGTGCTGTCTTGTGGTATGTGACTCAAACCTTTCTGATCCTTTTAAGAATTACTGGAATGCTCCCATTAAAATGAAGACTAGTTTTGGTAGAAAAGGTACTAGGAATAGGCACGGTTATTCTTCACTGAATTTCAGTACTGTAAAATGAGCTTTCTTATCTTTTTACACCTGTTGATGACCTAGCACCTTCAGGGCTCTAACATTTAAAAATATATACTTTTAAAGTAGGCATTTATTAAGAATTTAAATGTTAAACGTTCAGCTTCTGGGAAATCTACTAGAGAAAGTTCTAAACTTCTGAAAAACTTGGGTTTTGATAGTTTGGTTTTTTTTTTTTTTTTTTGGAAAGGAACAATTAATGTGCTATTAATACAGCAAAATTCTCCTCAATTTCCTCAGTAGTAATCATTTGAAGTCCTATGCGGAGAGAGCACTTTTAACATGCCTTCCTCTGCTGCTAGGTTTTAATCCCTGTTATAATACTGAGGAATGCCTAACCCTTAATTCAGCACACTGAATACCTCTGGTGGTTCCACTGTCAGGTCCACATAAGTTAACAGCACTTTTTCTGTTACTCTTCAGTTATTTACTTCAAAGAGTTCAGAGCTGCCTGAATTCAAAGTATTGTGTGTGCAATGGTGGGGAGCAGGGCAAAAAGACAGGCATGTTAGTCCTTCCAACTGCTTGTCTTTGAGCTGTATCTTGTGAAACTCTTCATTGCTGTAGAGCCAGTATAACTCCATAAGGGCAAATGAACAGAGATTTCTAAGCAGAAAAACAGGTAAAGTACTGTACACCTTTCCTGAAATGTTAAATAGGGTCAAAATGTGTGACTGCTTAAAAGGAAAAATGTAAATTAATGCATGCTAATTTTTAAATTCTTATGCAAGTTATTGCTTTTCTATTGTATTTGTTGCTAAATGAGAATCTGAAGGTATATACTTTATTTTAAGGCCTTAAGCAGTTCTATTTTTTTTTTCTCATTATCATGAATCGTATATATAGAATCATAGAATGGTTTGGGTTGGAAAGGACCATAAAGATCCCCACCCCACTGCCCTGGGCAGGGACACCTTTCACTAGACCAGATTGCCTTGAACACTGCCCAGAGCTTCTCTGGGCTACTTATTCCAGTGCCTCACCACCCTCATAGTAAAGAATTTCTTCCTAATATCTAATCTAAACCTGCCCATTTGCAGTTTGAAGTCATTCCCTTCCTCATCCTACCCTACATGCCCTTGTAAAAAGTCCCTCTCCAGCTCTCTTGTAGGCTCCCCTGGACTGCTGTAAGGTCTCCCCAGAGCCTTCCCATGTGCTAATTAGTATTTCTTCGCAGTGGTCAAGATCTGTGAGAAATTATATCCTCACCCACATATATTACTAGTTACTACCCATTTTCTCTTTTACCCATTGAGATATAATTACCATATATGATTTTACTAGATCTTAAAAGTCTTTTCCAACCTAAACAATTCTATGATTCTATAAAAGTATTCATAATGTGACAGTTGATACATGACAATCTTTTGTCTGAATATCCTTTACAGTTTTTGGACAGAGCACCAATTGTGTCATTACCTTCTTCCTGTTACGTAACATTGAGTTTTGTCCCAGTAGTTTTGATACATTTTTCGTCAACAGTATTTGTATACTTCAGCAGTACCTTTTTATTAATGGCTACTTACAGTAGCAGCTGCTGTTTCCTAAAAATAAAAGGTCTATTAAAATGTATTTTTATATTAAGAAAATGAAAACCCAACATCATGATCCAGCTCTCTTTAGTTATGCAAAATATGCACCTTCAAATACAACAGAATATTGGTTCAAATAACATCCTGTAATATTACACAAACTTCTTTTTTCTCCACTGAGTTCAAGATAGTAAGCAAAAAGAATCTGATATTTAGTCATATCTGTAAAGATGAAAACCCCTGTTTAACACATTATACAACAAAGGGATTAGCCAATACTTATTCCCTTACTCAGACTTGAATTTTATTATTGGCTGATCTTGCTCAGTTGGGCGGGACATAAAAAAAAGATGTGGAAGACTTAACCTACCTCTCAATTATCGTAGTTCAATTATAAATACAAAGTTTTAATTCCTATTAAACTGTGCATCAAACAGAAAATGTGAGTTTAACCTGTCAACCTAACTCTTCTTCTGTGTACTTTGGTGTGAATTCTTTGAGTATGGCACAGCTCCAAACCTTCTAAAAGATATTATGGGTTATACATACTTATTTAGGACTCCTTCCTCTAGAAAGGCTTAGTCATGATCTGCAGCGCTGTCTCCAGGACAGTTTGAAGATAAATCTTCAGAGTCTAAAGGATAAGCAGAGAGAAAGTGAGTAATTCCAGCTCAGAGGAGAAAAAATGGTTGCTAGAGATATTTGTAGAATCCATGTAAAACAGATTAAATAGAATTCAAGGTTTGCAAGATATTAATTCCCAAATTTGTTTTAAAACAAAACAAACCAAAAAAATTCTGTGCTCTTTGGTGCAGTGGTACTGTATAATTTTCTAATTGTTTCAGAAACATAGCATTAAATATCTGAATTTTGTTTTCTCAAAACTAAATTAATACAAATAGAAATTCAAATAAATTTCAGTACGGTTGGCTGTGTTTTGTTGTGTATTTTTTGTTTGGTTTTTTTTGATTATTTTGGTTTTGTGGGGGTTTTTTTGTTGTTTTTGTTTTGTGGTTTTTTTGTGCAACACAAGGGATTTTGAGAAACACAAGGGATATTATCTACTATTTGAGTTGAGCAGCATATCAAAGTAAAACACAAAAGACCGACTTACGCTCACCTTCATAGGTTGTTCCACACCAAATGCAATAAAAGTGTTCTTTTCTCAAGTAGGCTGTCAGGATCTGTAGCTTTTCTGATACCTAGAGATATGTACAGGAATGCAATGATCTGGGGATCACATGACATAAATAATTTTGAGCTAATGGTTTGCTAAAATAAAATTTTTAACCTTTTGCTATGGAAAAGCTACACAACACTGTAGCTCAGTAAGACATGAAGTTTCCCAACTCTGGAAAATTATTGGCTGTTGTTTGCTCATTTTTCTTTCCAGCTAAGTAATCTGCACTAAAGAGAGCTAGCTAAAAATACTACTTAGCTACCTGATTTCAAGAATACAGCATCTTTTGTGGATTTTTTTCACACCTAATCTCTGCAAGTGGAACACATAAGGCTAACAACAGCTGTGTAACCTAGTTCTCAAAAATTGTGAATTTCCTATGTTCAACTTGAGATGATCTGCAAAGCATTTTCAGAAATTACTTGATGATTCCAAAATTCAACCTCAGACATCAGATGAGGCACCCAAAACTAAAACTCAAACACGAGTAACGGTGATCTTGCATAGATCAGCCTCAAAACAGATGAGCAATGAACAGTGGTTTAATGTTTTATATTTTATCATGTAACTGCTATAAGAATCATTGCTTTGAGATTGCAAAGAGGCCCTTCACTACAGCTTGGAAAATGACATGTATACATATATCCTTTATATATATGTATACATACATACTGTTTAAGGGGTTATTAAATTTAATTCTGAATCGAGCCATTAATTTAGTTGCAGAGCTTACACTTAAGTCTGAGCTTGTGCATTCATCTTCCTTGTCTTCCTCCTCCTTTTTGTCTTCCTCTTCAGGTTCTATCCAAAACCAAGTTTCTTTGGGAACTTCGATGTCCTTAAATAATGAGGGATTTAAATTGATGTTATCTGCCTTCGTAGGTTTTCTTCTAAGGTGCCGGATAAAACCAATTTCTAGAAGGTGAGGTGTTAAGTTTTAAAACTTGCATGTTTAGTATAACCAAGCATTACTAAAGCTGTAGTGAGAAACTAAGTCCAGCAATCCACAAGAAGGATTATTTTTTTTTTTTTAAACAATGAAATGCATGCTAACAACGAGTTTTATCCCATCGGTGTTTGGTATGTGTAAGGCTACATTGCAACATTATCTGTGCCGTGAGCACCCTTGTTTATCAGTTAAAGACACACTGGCCCAAGTTATTTTTTGAAGAGATCACATGGTGCTTCCTAATCCACTTTGGGTAATGTTAAAGGAAGAAGAGTCAACAAAGATTATCTAAGCTTAATTCAGATTACTTCATCTGAAGCAAACTAGGTAGTATCAAATAATCTCAGCAGGACTTGTGAGGTGGTATTAACCTCTAACAGGTTAATAGAACAAAAAAAATCTTGAAGTTTTCAAGTGGAAAAAACTTATAGTAGTTCAATCCTATTACCTGTGTTATTCCTTGCAAGTAGAAGGTACTTAAGTTTTGTGGATTTTTTTTGTTGTTGGTTGGTTGGACTTTTTGTTTAAATGCTGCTTTGGTGAATCTGCTGATTCCCTCAATGATGATCCCCATCCTTAGAGATACTAAAGAGCTGCCTGGACATGGTTCTGGACAACCTGCTTTAGGTGACCCTGCTTAAACAGGAGGGTTGGACAAGATCACCTCCAGAGTCCCTTCTCAACCATTGTGTGATGATGTTGCTTCCTCAGTTGAGGCAAACAGCACCATCATTTAGGATGGTCTGATACTGGATACTGAAAGATATGCAAACAGCTCAGAAGTAACCACAAGAATGCAGGAGCATGAACATGGGGCCTCACATAAGTTAACATGAGGTTGGTGTGCACCTTCAACTATTTTAATGGTGCAAACATATACTTCAATTTTTTTTTAAGGACTGAAGTTTTGCCAAACATTAAGACTTCAGGCTAGTTACCCCACAATTTTAGAGAACTTCCAAGAATTTAATCACTACTTTGTAGCCTGTACCTCTAACCTATAAGCCTTCCTTCCAACCCTCCCCAAAACCCCAAAGGTCTCACTTTTTGCATATCTAATTGCTGGCAGGCTCTCTGGCTTTTTCTTAGGTCCCCTTCCATCTTACGTTCTTCTTGTTTGTTTTTGAATCTTATTCTGTTAAGAAAAAGCAGAGAGGTAAATAAGCAGGCAGACACACAGTGCGAGATGCATTACAGTCCACAGCTTTAAAAAAACAGAAAAAGTAAGATTCTATTCCTAATAATTCTCTCAGACCGTGACAACATATGAGTTAAGAAGACATTCTAACATTGTTTCTGTGGGAGCACACTTGTATTTCTTGGGAATTATAACTTCAAGATGGTGCTTTTGTGATCACACTACACTGTTTCTTCATCAGATTTTCAAAAGACAAAGTGTTTCACTAAATATCTGCAAATTATACAGCCTTCCCTAAGCTTTCCTTTTCCACATACTACAAGCAAATAGGAGAAAACAAAAAAAATTACAACCTTAAGAAATTTACCGTGATTTTTAAAATCACTGTAGCGACATTGCTCAAGATTTTAAATGTAAAATCCACACAAAAAGATGGCACGGTTCCCCAATTTAAAAAGGTGTGAATGACTTGAGAAAAGTTAGTATGTATATTGTTTGCATTATGAACAAAAAACTAAAGGATGCTGCACGTGATTTTAGCATTGCAGTGTTCATCTACTTTTGCTTTAGAACTGAGAAACAATTGCACTGTATTGTAACTCTCACCCTTCACTGAAAACGTTCAAAAATAGTAACACATTAAAAGAATAACCAAACTTAGAGCATAAAGAGAATAGTTTTTTTAGACATTGCTTGGAATTCAGTTACATGATTTTACCTGAACTGATCTGCAGCTTGTTCATTTGCTTGTTTTTTCATATGGAGTTTTTGTCTATAGTTTTCCAGTTTTTCTTCAGCTTTTCGCTTTTTTAATTCCTCGTGACCAAGCCCACTTCTGCCTACGTAAGTTCAAAAGGTGAATGTAACCAGTTGAGAAGCTCTGATACCCAACTAAGTAAATGGCACTGAGTGCCATGATCTAGTAATCACAGTGGGGTTGGATCAAGGGTTGGACTTGATGATCTCAGAGGTCTCTTCCAACCCAGTTAATTCTACGATTCTATGATTCTATGAAATCAGAAAGCATCACAAACCTGTTTTTATGTTCAGAGGAATAGGTTCAACAATGCCTTCTCCTGTGAGAGAAAAAATAAGTCAATTAAAGAAATCAAGCTTTTCCGATTTGTGCAGTGTATTCAAGTAGGTAAGCTGGTTTTGCCATTAAATATGTACATTTTCTTGTGATTTTTTTTGACTAGAAGTTGAAAAATCACAAATTGATACACATTTAGTGCACTACAAATGATGCAGCTGAACTGAAACTCCCTCTCTTTTTTGGCTTGTCTGCTAGGTTCTTAAATATTTTCTTCAGGACATGACTCAACTGAAAGAAAATGGTGTTGATATGACAGGTATAACATGACTGTGATGAAGGCTTTGTTACAGCCTTCTATAGCATTTTCAGTCTAGGATCTCACAACTTGACAATGACGAAGAATAAAAATAATGTCTGGGCCAGTTTGTTTGCGATTGTCTGCTAGAGGCATGCTGAACTGGCACAGCAAGTTACTGATGCCTTGTTTTACTGATTTTACTTCATCTATTAAGGCTTCATAAGGGTAGGCCAGAGTGCACAATTTCTTCTTCAAGAATCCAACTTTATAAGTTCCAAGAGAGGGGCTGACATTTTTTTGAACACTATTAGCTTTGCAAAACCACCAAAGCATCCTTAATGCAATTCCCGTAGGTATGCACATATGGAAGTGCATTTATCAAGCTGCAAATACTGCTCTTCGCTCACATCTCTCAATAGCCTGTACCGTTTTCACTTCGGTTTTAGGGGTTCGCTCTCGTATTTTGCTGTCACAACACATTCACAGTTCAGTAATGCTAGGGCCCTTTGAGAGGCACTTACTGACCCTGTCTGCAAAGCAAGTCACGGACGGCTGCAGTCCATAAATATAAAGGTACAGCTGAATACAGGCACACACTTCAGAGAGCAACAAGCTTACCGCTTTTGCCAAGGGCCTGGCCGCTCTTGTAGCCCATCTTCTGGAGCAAAGCAAAGCCTTTGTTCTCGTTGCCCAACGCGCTTTTCAACACCAAGTCTCGCCTCTCTTTTTCTTCTTCTTTTATACTCTTTTGCCTGTTTTTCTCATTGGCTTCCTTTTGCTTTTCTTCTTTCTGAATAGCTTCTTTCACCCGTCTTACCATGGGCAAGCCGGGCCTTACATCCTGTCTAGGAGTTAGTAATTCCAGCAAACATTAGCGCTTTTTCAAAAAACGCGTTTAAAATCACCCAAAAGCGGGGGTGGAAAAGAGCCAGCGACTTACTTAATAAACGCATCAGACATGTAGTCTTCCTCTTCATCTCCCTCCATGTCGGCACGCCCGCCCTGTGCCGACCCCCTTGCCCGTGGACACCGTCAGGACGCCTTACCCCGAAGTTTATTTCCCCACTAGGCAGAACCCACTCTCGCACGGAGAGGCGCCCCCGGGACAAGGGAGGCTGAGGCACGAACACAACTGAACCCGCCGGGCCGCCCCCTCCCAAACCCGGCGCACCAGCGCCCGCAGAGCGTTTCCCCGCGCTCCGCTCCCGCCGCTCCTGCCCGGGACGCTCCGCCCGCCGCCGGGGCGCCCGCGGGGCCGCGGCCGAGGGGGCAGCGGGGCCGAGAACACCCGCACACCAGCCCGGCACGGCGGCAGCGCCTGCGCGGGGCCGCCCCCGCCGGCCGGCGCCTGCGCCTCTCCCGCTTCCTGCCGCGGGTTCTGCGGGGGTGCGCCGGGGCCGGGCCTGGGACGCCGCCGCTCGTGTCTCCCCTTTCCCCGCCCTGCTCCACTCGCCGGACCCGGGGTCAGCGGGGACCGAAGCGGCCAAGCTCGCCGGGGATGATCCCGCGGCCGGGGGCGCGGGCGGCGCATCGCGCCCGCGCGTGTCCGTGACCGTGTCCGTGAGCGGCCCCCGCGGCCGCGGTGTCGCGCCCGGCACAGCCCGGCACAGCCCGGCCGCCGCACGGTGGGAGCGTAAGTGACCATGAGCGGAGCCGGGGAGCTCGGCCCGGCCCGGCCCGGGGGCTGCGGGGAGCGGGCCGGAGGGTGGTCCGCGCTTCGCTCCGCGGCGTTGGTGGCGGGGGGGGGAGGGTCGGTGAGCGTGTGCGGGGGTCGTGTGTGGAGGGCAGCGCGCATCGCTCCCTTAGCATCGCTCCCTTAGTATTCTCACAGCATCGTTCTCGTAGCATCATTGCCTCTAGCATCGCTGCCTTGAGCATCATTCCCTTACAACCAGCGCTGTACCGCGGCGTTACCTCCTGTGGGTCTTTTTAGAACCGGGCAAGATGCGCTGGGAGAGGTGCTCCAGCATATTAAAGTAGCCGATACAGGTTAGGAGCACCCAGGCGCAAAAGCGTTTTCACCTGATGCAGCCCTTTGGGAGGGTGTCACTTCGCCTAAACTTGCCTGGTTTTTAGCTTTGTCAGTCCACTGAAATGCTTGTATGATGAAGATATGAATAGTTGGTTTAGGCTACAGAAAACCAGCTGTGGAATAGAAAGGAATTTTAGTGGATCTGAATGTTTTCTAGCCTCTGTAACGCTTCAACATACCTTACTGGGCGCTGGTTGACTTTGATCGGCTTTCACTCTGCATCCTGTGGGAGAGCACAGTGTATTTATTTCTTGTAGAAGGCACGGCAAGACCCAACCCTCACCAGAATCGGTTGAACTTAGTAGGCATTTTTCACTTCATTTTTGAGCAAACTGTTTTCCAGTGTTAAGTGAGGTTTGGATTCCTTATGTGTGTAGCTGAATCTTCAGCTGAATGTTTGTGTGATTTTTCTTGTGCTCGATCCCTTGTGCTTCAGTGGCGCAGCTGAATGTATGTGCAGATTTGGTTGCTTGGAGCTTATGTTTTCTAAATTTAGATGAAGAGATATGGGAGTGTGTGGAAGGTTGTGGCCAGGGGTAAATGAAACCTTTTATGTGGGGAGAAAAAGGAGTAATGAGCTGTGCTGTCATGCAGCACTCCTGTGCTGTGCGGGTGTGACAAGCAGGGTAGATCTCTGGGATGGTATCCAAACAGTCATAGTGCTGTCATTCATTGCGTTTCTCTCTGTTATCATGAAAAGGTGTTGTGAGGTGATGTGTCTGTGTATTATTGACAGGCAATACCTCCTCAATTCTTTATAAATGACAAAAAAAATCCAGAAGATGTCTTTGGAGATGTCAGGACGGGCTTCTATATGTGGCTCTTCCACACTTGCTGAGCTGTTGCTGGAGATGAATGTAGTGTAAAATGTTATGCAAAGTACTGAAGTGCAGGGAACAACCTTCGTATTACAGACATTGTGATGGTTTAGTTTCATCAGTACCAAATCGAGGTGAATTCAGACCCATAATACAGTTGTACAGTTGTAGGATTAACATATCACCTGTACCAATGTCTGTTAAAAAAAAAATTAATTTAGACCACCTCATTTGCTTTAAGATTTTTTTGAGTTTGACCAGGAATGAGGAAGCAGCTTTGAACTGTTGAGAACACAAGTGGAACTGTGCAGCTGTCAAAAGATGATGTCTGTTGAAAGCTGATATCTTACATAATACTCCTTAGTTGTTTTGCTTTCTCTGCTTTGCCTAAGATCCTTGCTTCAGCATCACTGCATTCAGATTTTGAGCTTTTTTTTTTTATTTTTGTGTTTCTTTTTACTAAAGATGGTTGACTTAATTTTGTGATTTTAGATAAGTTTTGTTTGGTTGTTTTTGTTGTTGTTGTTTTTTTTTTTTCTATCAGCTCTTCATTAAACAGCTACACTTTGTTTAAAGGTGGTTTGCTAAGGTGAATTTGTCCACAGAGTGTTTGCTTACACTCTTTTACAGTGTGCTTTTGGTCGTGCTTTGGTGCTACCCACCATTCAGTGTTTGAGCAGGATCTCCAGTGTTTGATTTGCAGTATTTTGCCTGCTGGGGAGTCTTGCAGTCATTTAGCTGCTGCTTGTATTCCAGGCTGTCACACCTAAGGCTTGCTAGGTTTCAGGGGGCTTATTTGCCCAGCACTTAAAGCAAGGCTAGTGGATCTTAGGTCAGTGATGCCAAATATTATCAGTGTTCCTGCCTCTCTCAGATTTGTGATAGGTGGAAATTCCTGCTTGTGGTAGGCTCGTCTTCACACGTTGTCTGTTGAAGGGTGTTGAGGAGGTGGCCAAGTTCATACCCAAACTTCGGGAGTGTGCTCAAGGGTCTTGATTTGGGACAATCCTTATTCTCTTTTATGTGAGAGGAGATAGCAGGATGACTCCTTTACCTGTTTCATACTTTTTTTTTTTCTTTAAACAGGGACTTCAGTATATTTTTCTTGGCTAAGAGTTTGGACCCTGAAATTGCCTGCAGATGCTTTTTTTACAACTAGCAACTCTGTTCCCTAAAGTACTAATGGATGCACTCAGTTTGTAAATATGTGTAGTTTTTATGTGGGACTGCTTAGCTAAGACAAGTCTAAGCAAGCTGGAAATTTTAATTTGATTTTCAAAGGTTCGCACTGATGTACTGTATACTAATATTTACATTTTTATTTTAGAGTTTCTACACAACTTTACATAAAACTGGAATTTAACCTGTCATGGAGCTGGCTCACAGTTTGTTACTGAATGAGGAAGCATTAGCTCAAATCACGGAAGCAAAGAGACCAGTCTTTATCTTTGAGTGGTTAAGATTTTTGGATAAAGTGCTAGTAGCTGCCAACAAGGTAATTTTACGGGTTTGTTCCCCCTTCTTTGTAAAACATTTATATTATTTTCATGCCAGACAGTTGACAGGTGATGGCCAGATGACAGCTGTATGGTTTCAGATTAAGCCTGAAGAGCTTTTATATTAGTTTGTAGCTCTTAAGTGTTTAATTGTAAGCAGTCAGTAGGCAGCTAGTAAGTATTTTTAAGAAGTAAAATTTAAAAAGGATAACAGCTAATTCTGAGCATTTAGCATCTGTCTTTTCTATTATTGAATGTATCTTGAATCTCTGTGAAACAAGCAATTTGCTGAATTACACGCAATTGGAAGTGGTATAAGCTTTACTTCAATCTCTTATAGGTTTTTTTGGCTGTGGCAAGACACAGGATTAAATGACTTTTTTATTTATTTTTTATCTCTTTAACAGACAGATGTCAAGGAAAAACAGAAAAAACTTGTGGAACAGCTAACAGGACTCATCAGCAGTTCCCCTGGGCCACCTACGCGAAAGCTACTTGCAAAAAATCTCGCTGCTCTCTACAGCATCGGAGACACATTTACTGTTTTTCAGACGCTTGACAAGTGTAATGACATCATCAAGAGCAAAGATGATACCGCAGCCTACCTGCCCACAAAACTGTATGTTTAATATTACTTGGGAAAGGGGAGTAGTTTTTAAGCCAAGTGGTCCAGGATATTACAGAATAATCTGCCTACATATGTGCATGCTATGTTTATTTATATTTTGCATGCTTATTTGGAGTTCAAATATGCTTGATATAGCAAAGAAAAGCACTGGATTGAGATTGTGCAGGGCAGGACTCAAAGGTGACACATACATGGCTATCTGAAAGTGAAATGTCTTTCTTTAGGCAAGGTGCTGCCTTATGTTTCTTCACATGCTTATGGCATGGAGAGAATAACAGTTAATGCAGTAATGCAATGAAGTCTTTCCATCAGTGGAATTATTGCTGATTGCAGTCAGGTACCCTGTTTAAGGTAGAACCTGCAGATGGTCAAACCAAAGCATTATCTATGCCCATAGACTTGGAATTGCGTGTTCAAGCTTTTTTCCCTATCAAATCTTGCCTTTTATATTCCTCCACTGTGATGTGCCACACAGGTCTCTCAAGCAGAGTCTCTGTACTTGGATATGTGAGTGTGTGTATGCGTGATCCAGTTTGTCTTAATTCATAGGAGCAGTCTCAATGGTAGGAATTTGGTTAATGCCGCAAAAAGCTTCCACTGAAACTGTTTTTGGTGCTTTTCTGCATGTACTGCTTCATATGTTCTCAGTGTCTAGTGAACCCTAATTTGGTCTTGCCTTCAGACATTATCACAACAAAAAAGGATTTAACAATAAAGTCTGAAATAGCCACTGTTTGGGCAGATACTCTCCTCTTTTTTATAGCTCTTGCAGCTCTGTGAGGAACTTGTATAAATGGGAAGGGTTTTGTACTATAATATGCTCTGAAACTTAAGCTATCCAAGTGATAGTCCAGAAGTTTTTTTAACGGAGATGTACCCCTTAAGGAGGAGCCTGTAATGAGTTTGTAACATAGCTTTGCTAAAAAATCATTTAGCCAAGAGTTACAGATTAAAAAAAAAACCTCGTTTTTGATAAAAAAGTACATGTTTTCAGGAGCTGCTTGTGGAACAATTTGTGTATATAACTGCAATATGGTGTTAATTAAATATCCCTAATCTTAAATGGCAGGGCAAGGAAAACATGTAAAAACTGTTTATGGATCGAGTGATTTTACAGTACCTATAACTTTTCTTGTTTTATGC